GCAATTGTTTGCATCCATCACAGCATTTTTCCCAGCAAGCAAGTATTAACGTATCACAAAATGTGAAAAAAAAAATTCCTCTTTCAACCCTTACTTCTCTCTTCAGTTTTTGGTCAGCATCAATGATTTTCAGTTTAAATTCAGGATTTCCTTAGATTGTTAGAGATTTACTGGTTTTCCAATGATTTTAAAGTAGTTCCCATTGCTACTGCATGGCAGTCCATTTTGAGTGACAATGAAGGATACCTGGGATCATAGAGGTAGACGGGGGGGTGGAAATGGAACGTGAAGGAATGTGAGGAGCATTGGGTTTCATGGCGTGATGTGCAGTCCTAGTGAAACAAGGCAGGCCTTTTACAGTCAACCTTAGCATTGGCCAGCCCCCTGCAACCACCTGTGATCGGTGTTCAGGGTCAGTGTGACCAATACCATCCCATACCGTCACCCCACAGTAAACATGCTACCATCTTCTGAGATGGGTATACGAAGCCAGGACATTTATTATCTCATTCTACAATGTTTTTTTAGTTGGTCATCAAGAAGAACAAAGCTGTTACCTTTCTCCCAAGCACAAACTTAAGCTCCACCAGCTTTCTGATCACGTTTTCCAGTATTTACTTTGGCACAGTAATTTTTTCCTCACAGCAATAAATTGCCTTGGGACGTAATATGTTAAAGATGTTATAAAGATGAAATGCATGTTGCCACAAGATCCAAGTGATATTGCTGTGTGTGTATGTGTGGTGCCATTTTTTAAAAATAATTATAACCAACAAACTAATTGCAATGCAACTATGAATTTTTTTCTGAGATTTTACTGTGCAGCCAAATACATGATTTTCTGTAGTTACACTTGTGAAAGGATTATGGATAATCCTCAAGGGAGGCGATGGCAGAGTGGTATTGTCTCCCAACCAAGTAATGTTCTGGTGACCTCCATTCTAACACCACTGCAGATGGTAAAATTTGATTTAATGAAAATCTGGAATTAAGTGTGTTGTGGTTATTGGAGGTCAGTCATCACAGCTCTACAGGAGTTTGTCAGATTAGTATCTGAGGCCCAACCATCTTCAATACCTCCATCAATGATGTTCCCTCCATCATAAGGTCAGAAGTGGAGATGTTTGTTGACAATCGCACAATGTTCGGTACCATTCATGACTCTTCAGATACAGAAGCAGTGCAAATGCAGCAAGACTTGGGCAATACCTGGGGTTCGGCTGACAAGTGACAAGTGATGATTGTGCCACACAATGCCATGCATGAATAATCTCCAACAAGAGAATCTAATCATCACCCCTTGACATTTAATGGCGTTACTATTGCTCAATCCTCCACTATCAACATTCTGAGAGTTATTATTGACCAGATATTGAACTGGAATAGCCATATAATTAAGCACGACAGTGGCTAGGAATCAAGTAATCCAAGTGGCAAGTAACTCAGCTTCTGACTCCACAAAGCCTGTCCACCATCTATTAGGCACAAGTCAGGAGCGAAATGGAATTCTCCCCACTTGCCAGATGAGTGAAGCTCCAATAACACTCAAGAAATGACTCCATCCAGAACAAAACAACCCTCTTACTTGCTAAGCACCACATCCACAAACATTCACTCTATTGACCACAGATGCACAGTACCAGTAGTATGTACCACTTACAAAATTTACTGCTGAAATTCACCTAAATTTTATCGACAGAACCTTCTGAACCCAGGACCACTACAATCTCTAAAGGACATTGGCAGCAGCTAAATGGGGGCACCACCAGTTGCAAGTACCCTGTCAAGCCTCACACCATCTTGATCTGGGTATATATCACCATTCCTTCAACATTGCTGTGCCAAATTCTGGAACTCCCTCCCCATCATGGGGAGGCAATGACCTAGTGGTATTATCACTGGACTGTTAATCCAGAGGCCCAAATAATGTTCTGGGACCCGGGTTTGAATCCCACCACGGCAGATAGTGGAATTTGAATTCAATAAAATATCTGGAATTAAGAATCTAGTGATGACCGTGAATCCATTGTAGATTGTTGGAAAAGCCCGTCTGGTTCACTAACTAAACTTCCCTTTAGGGAAGGAAATTGCCATCCTCTGGCCTACATGTGACTCCAGACCCGCAGCAATGTGGTTGACTCTTAACCGCCCTCTGGGCAATTAGGGATGGGCAATAAATGCTGCCTAGCCAGCAACACCCTCATCCTGTGAATGAATGAAGTGAAAAAAAAGCATTGTGGATCAACATATGCCAAATGGACTACAATGGTTCAAGAAGGCAGCTCACCATCACCTTCTCAAGGACAACTATGATGAACAATAAATACTGGCCTAGCCAGTGATGCCCACTTCCCATGAATGACTATTAAAAAAAATCTTTATTCGCAATTTTGCATGATTGTTAAAAACAAAAACAGAAATTGCTGGAAAAAATTCAGGTCTGGCAGCATCTGTAAAGAGAAAGCAGAGTTAGTGTTTTGGATCCAGTGACCCTTCTTCAGAGTTGAGTTTCTCCAACAATTTCTGATATCCAGCTTCCACTTCATTTAAAATTTAAAAACAAAACTGCATCAAAAAACAAAGTTACTGAAATGCTTTCTAATTAACAATATAATACATTATTAAAAATGAGGACTATCTAATTTATTTTTAATCTTTCAGCATTTTTATAGTGATACAGAAAATGACAATAGCCACCATTAGATTACAAAAATACTTTTATTGTTTTATGCGTTCTATTTTAATCCAGTGAAGTCTTTTATTGCATTATCATACCACAGACTGATTTCTGAACAGAGTTGCGGGCAGGTTAGAAACTTCCTTGTCTATCCAAAGTCGCAAACAAAACAGACAGTAATTTGTAGAAAGTTGTAAAAGAATGAGTCAAGATGATGCTGGTCTGGCTCATACCAGAAAAATGACAAAACCTTTCAATCTTGTATTCTGGTACATACATACCTCTTTTTTCACATCTTTACAGCAAACTCGTACACTGAAGATCTCTGACAAATCTGAATAAAAGGAATTTGTAGTAATAGTATTCACTAGAAACACTGTAAATATAGTAATGCATTTTGGTGGTATACACCAAGTTAGTACACAACATGCAAACATTCACATAAACACTGTGTGAACATAACCACTTCTGTCCATGAGTTGTGCACTTATCGAGTAATGCCCCAATGATGTTGTCAATATTTAAATTACCTGATCAAACAGTAAAGTGTACTTAGCAAGTAATGCCTTAATGACTTATCAACATTTAAATCTACTTGATCAAATAGTACAGGAGCACCTGTTGCCCTTATTTTAAAGGGACAATATGCCACTCAAGTCTTTAATTATTGAAAACCTTGAATGAAGAACCAAAGCCTACATTTCAAGACACCAGTAAGCCTGAAAACAAAAAAATGAGATGAGCTAAATTAAGAAGTAGACTTTAGATAGCCCTTGCTTGGTTTTTATAAACTTGCAGTTTATTCAAAGAAGAGAGAATTAAGCCAATGTAAGGATATAGTTTTGAGCTCCAGGGATAGAATATTGAAAGAATTTGTGATTAGTTTTTAATGTCAAAGCAACATAGGAGAGGAAACGTGTGTATAGTGAGTATTTTGGAGCAGTATATGGAAAAAAGACAGACAGCAATGCTGACATGCAACAAGGTAAAATATAGGGAGATGAGAAAGATTATGAGAAACACTTTGTGAGAGGATTTCCACTGGGCTTTCCAATTTCCCATCTTAACTTTGTCAGAGTATCAGCAGAAAATGTGGAATTGGCTATTTTCTGCTACTTACATAGTTTTACCAAGGAATCTGCCAAAGTAACTTCAGTAGGTTAGGAAAACGCTGCAGAAATTTCAAGGTCCTTAAAATGCCTTTAAACAAAGTGGTTAGTTTAAAAACTGGTAAGACACTGTGATATAGTTACACAAATCAGTCACTCTACCTTTATACAGCAAGAAAATAATTCATTAAGATAATTTGACAGTTGAAGGAATATATTTAAGCTTGACTGATTTTGCACCAGTTTTCATTCCACCAACTATTTCACTTTCTGTGGTGGATACTCATTAATGCATTATTTCTGTTACATCAACAATAAGCAACAGAAGAAAATAAACCACCCACATTGCTTACTATATACAAGAAACGTTCCTAATATTTACATTGAAAAGATTGCTGCAGGCTGGAACTGTTTATATAATTAAGTTGTCCTTGATCAGGTCATTACAAATAATAGCTGTGTTGTGAATTTTCCTTAAATCTCCAGTGAAGGAGAATGCTAAATATTTAAACAGTTGGTTGTATTTCTTTCAATCTTAGTATAATGAACCTTAAGCTTTTCACTGAAAATTTCCCAACAGTAAATTGTATTATGTAATAGTAATGAGATTGGTACTTTTGAAGTTTCAGTTCTTGTACTGACAGCCTCACAGATTGTGATGTCTTTGGCATTGTTGACTTAACACTCTTAGATGTTAATACATTTACAAATATATTAACATCTCAAGATATTTAACTATTTTCATTAAAAAAGGTAACAAATAAGAAAATTCCTTAACTGGTCAGTTACCCATCTTTTGACCCTGGACAGCCATTAACAGACTTGTTTGAACCAGTCAGCATACGCAGAGCAACAAGAGCTTTGTTTATGATCGTCAAAGCAGAGATTTTAAGGAACTCTTGATATTATCATTTGATAATGGTAGATATTAGGATTATATTTTCTGAATGTTAAAATTAGTGGTCAGAAAATCTGGCTGTTTACCAATATGTGTTGATGTACCATGTACAATTAATCAGACTGATACGAATGAGTAGTCTTGCCCTGATCCTCCATGGCTTATACATATTGAAACAAACACTTAAACAAATATTGAATCAAACAAAGTTTTATACAACTAGGTTCTCAATTAGATTCAATTCCTTTATCAGCTCTATCAAATAGCTTTCTTATAATGAAAAGCTGCTTTGGCGTTAGATTCAGAAACTTTTAAGTTAAGGACATTGCTAGACATTTATTTCCCTCAAGAAAGACAGTCAGAGCAGCATTCAATAGTATACGACTATGAAGGACCTACCTGATTTGGGAGTTAGTGACTCACCCCTCTCCTGGTTCTAGCTTTATACAGCTTCATATACAGAGTCAATATTGCAAAAAAGAACTTTCAATGGATCACAAATTGGACAACCTTACAACTCCCCGTTGAGTTGCATGCACTTTGATTTTAAAGAATGGTGTGGGAGAATGAAATATTGTTTCTGCTGCAAATAAGAACATTATGGAATCTTAGTCTAGGATAATGCCACTCCCACAGGATTTTATTTTACACACAGTGAATCTGCTTCTCATAAACAAAAGAATTTGTAAAAAATTAACATTACACTCCCTTTCTGGAGGAAGTATATGGGTCCAAAGTGACCTGAACGTAGAAAATAACAGAATTCTTGCTGATGTTGACAAAAAATTGTCCTGACCAAATGCTCCTGGTTCTGGCAAAACAATAATGGTCAAAGTCTTTATAAGGGAAAAAAAGTCGTTTTTATGGATTTTTAAAACCATTTTTAGCAAAAGGAGTTTCTGGGTTGGAAGATGTCCAACCTTCCACTGAACCTTTTAATTTCTGAATTTTTGTTTTAACAGTAAGTACTTAAAATTCATCCCTTCTCATTAATATTCAAAGACTAGCTTTTTAACAAAGAACAATTAATTTGGACACATCTTTATAAAGGAAGCCCTAAACAAAGAACTTAGTTTAAAAAATAATCCAAGGCTGTTTGGCATATGGTTTAAAATTGAGACAGATCTGTTCCTTCTCAAAAAGCAGTGTATTGAGCAGTATTTCACTAAAGTACTCTTACACTAATTACTCCCAACATATTTCATTAGATATTCCCCCTTTAAAAGACATAACCACTGTCAAATTACGTGATGTTTTGTGGTGTCTGTAAAGTATAATAAATAAAGTATGCATGAGTGACAGTTCATTTGGAATCACTTTATCCATCTGCAAAGGGTCCATTTTTTTTTTCCTCAGTTCCTTATCTAGAGAGGTTGCACTACGCAGTGAGGCCAGTGATAGTCTGGAGAGTTCCAACTTGATTGCTGAACAATGAGATTAACTGCTGGATGGTGATGCTATTATCCTGTTTTCCACTGCGCTGAACATTGCATGGAATCTTGAATTGTCGTTGGAGAGCAGGACACTAGGGCTGTCAAACTCAGCAATCTAAGAAATAATATTAATATTAAAGAGTTTTGTTACTTGATTTCATTTATTGTCATCAGAAATCAGTACTCCTCGTATTGTTGACTGAACACAATAGTTCCAATTCCACTCCCAATCAATGAAAGAACTAAAAACAACCACTTTTTAATGACGAATGTTTGCTGTCCTGAATGTCGTGTTTCGTGTTAGGGTACACTTAGATATATGGTGACAATCTTCCAGCTTCTCATTCAAATGGCTTTTCTTCATATGCTATCCTTGGTAGCAAATGTTGGTTAGTCATTCAAACAATGTGTTGGACTGGGATGGACAAAGTCAAAAGTGACATGACACCAGGTCATAGTCCTGGTGACAAAGCAGCAGTGCCTCAAAAGCTTGTGATTTCAAATAAACCTGTTGGACTATAACCTTGTGTCATGTGACTTCTGACTTAGTCGTTCAAATGCTATGATACTCATTACATTTTTAGATATTTCATCCCTTTTACTCCATATATTTTTGGTTTTTAACATCAGCTAATTTATAGATATATAAAGGGCCAGACTGATTCCTCTCAAAAGGAAAACAAAACGGAATTTAATAAAACAAGCTTACACTGATATTGGAACCATTCATTACTGCATTTGCAAAACTTTCAAGTTCTCCAAATCAACCTGGAATAAAGTTCAAGCTCCCTATGGAATTGAAAGTTATTCAAACTGCACCAATACCTGGGTATATTTAGCCATGTACATAATAAATGTTTTGTGTATTTAAGGGGAGGCTAGATAAGCAAATGGGGGAGAAGGGAATAAAAGAATATGGTGAGAGGTAAATGACAGAAAATGGGAGAAGGGTTGGGATGAGAGAAAATGGGAGAAGGGTGGGATGAAAGAATGTACAACATAGAAACAGGCCTATGTAATAGTATGCATAGGACAATGAACAGAAACTACATTTTCAATTTGCTCTACTTATAATATTCTGTGTCTCCACAGAATTCTTGATGTCTTCGTAAAGTGGTAGAATGGCTACATACTAGATTTTGATTTAGGTTTTAGCTGCCAAACACATTGATTGATGAGTAAACAAAAGCAGCATTAAATCCCAAAAATATAATGGCCCGGATTGTACTGTAGCAAGGCTATCAATGCCTGATGTTATTAAATCTGACAGCAACTTCAGGCACTTTAATGTATGTAGGTAAACATGGAAATTGAGAAGTTGTTGTCAGAGATCATAGAATCATCATAGAATCCCTACAGTGTGGAAACAGGCCCTTCGGTCCAACAAGTCCACACCGTCCCTCAGAGCATCCCACCCAGGCCCATTCCCCATAACCCATCTAATCTGCACATCCCTGAACACTATGGGCAATTTAGCATGGCCAATCCACCTACCCTGCACATCTTTGGACAGTGGGAGGAAACCGGAGCACACGGAGGAAACCCACGCAGACACGGGGAGAATGTACAAACTCCACACAGACAGTTGACTGAGGGTGGAATCGAACCCAGGTACCTGGAGGCGTGAGGCAGCAGTGCTAACCACAATTATCCACAACCAGAGGAGTTCAATGTTCATAATGCTATAATCCTGTTTCTATTGTGTTGTACGGGCTGACAGAACCATCAGATTCCTACTCTCAAGGAAAGATGCAGGTCAGATGGGAATTGGAGAAGAAATGTACAAATCTGGGGGACCTCAGCTGGCTATCAATCTGTCACAATTGTACGCAGAATATGGGAACAACAAGCCATTCCTTTGGAGTTCAAGGAGGCTGGTGTTTTTCAATTGTGCAAAGGAAGTGGATAAAGATCTACCTGACAACCACAGCTGAGTAACATAGCAGGACAGGCATTGCTAGATAGACAAAATGGGTTCAGGAAAGTTAGAGATGCTTGGAATTTTATTTTCATCCTTTGGAAGACAAGGGAAATGCTGTAACTAATAGATGGGACTCACAGTGTTTTTGTTGCTCTGATGAAGTATCTGACACAGTAAAATAAAGCGGCCTTGTGGAAAGCCTTGGATGCAAAACTTGGATGTCCTGACAGAGCTGTGAATCTGATACAGCAGTTTCAATAAGGAATGATGGCGAGAGTCACTGACTGGAGTGAATATACTAACCCCTTGATGTTACAAATGGCATAATCCCTGAAATCCTCAGTATGTTCTTTGCTGGTATGCTTTCTGGGGTAGTTAATGGAAATATTGATTGAATATACACCCAATTTAGAAAAGATGCCAATCTCTTCAACCTGAGATTACTGAAATATTCAATTAACGTTGACAGATGTTGACATGGGAATTGATGTTGAGCTGTAACATGATTTCTGTATATGAAAGCGATTTTAAACTCTGTATTATGACTGAACTAAAGGACATTTATTGAGGGCCATCATAGACATTCCATTCCGTCTTCATAACCAATCTTCAACTGTGCACTTTCAAGCAGAAATCATTTTTATTCAGAACAGAAACATTGGTTGTGTTTTTCCTATCTTTACTGACCAGGAAACTGAGGTCAGTAGTTGTAAGAAACAGAATTTCAAATAAAATAGTTATCAGTCCCCAAACTAGTCTTTAATCTTTTTCAAATTTAACTCTGACCGGCAAAAGCATCTTACCTCGCCTTGATCTAGCACCATGATCCTGTCACAGTTCAATACTGTGTGAAGACGATGAGCTACAATCAGCATTGTACAATCAGAAAAAGCCTCCTGAATGGTTTTATGAATCAACATGTCAGTATCTGTATCAATGGCAGCTGTGGCTTCATCTAGCAATAAAATCTATATAGAAAAGGAAATTTTTTAAACTCACAACATTGAACTGGAAGGTGACATTGAGTGAAATGCAAGTCATGATCTTATGAAAAGAAAGGGCATGAAACTTTGTAAAAACTATGATCCTCAACTGAATCCCGAAACCCTCAGCATCAGCCTGGCAATTTCCTGGGGGAGGCAAATAAGAAAAAAAAAAATTCCAGGGAAAGTCTGAAGACTCCAACTTCTCACATGTATCCCCAAAGCCAATGAAAGATCAAACAACTGTAGAATACCATGGTTGACTGGGAGGCACATTATCTATAACAACCTGGTTCTTCATTATATGCAAACTCATTATTCAGCTCACTTTGGAATGTTTTTTGCAAATCTGTGCTAACTGCATGAGCTGTAAACGTTTCATAGATTGCAGACTCTGGAAAACGTAAGTATTTCTTGACATCTAACCTAGTTCTGCACTAATGTAACTCAAAAACTCAAACACGCTAATGTAAAGATACACAAGTACTGTCTCCTAATCCATTTTATATAATTTAAAGTCAATCCTCATGAACCAAATCTATTTCTTTCATTACTTTAAAAGACATCAATTATATCTGCTCAAAATCATACTTTTTTTGAGAAAATAAGTCAGGCCTTCTGTGTCCAACATACGAGAAGTCTTTAAACTAAGTATCATTCTACTGCATCTACATGAAAGTGTTTTTTCACAGGGTTCTACATCATCCATAATCTGAGAGGGCTAAAATGGGAAATATTATTCTAAATGAAGTCTAATCCAGATTATAATATACGATGTGTGTTTTAAATTATGCTAATCTAGTATTACGTTCCAACAATTGAGAGATTCATGTACTATTAATATACAAGTCCTTTTCCTCTAAAACAGGCATCAGCATTAAATTCTGCATGCTTGGCATTTGCTATGCATATGCATCACATTTTAGAGATAGCAAGAACTGTAGATTTTGGAGTCAGAGATGACAATGTGTGGAACTGGAAGAACACAGCAGGCCAGGCAGCATCAGAGGAACAGGAATGCTGATGTTTCAGATCGAGACCCTTCTTCAGAAATTTTTGAAGGGTCCCGACAGGAAATGTCAGCTTTCCTGTTCCTCTGATGCTGCCTGGCCTGCTGTGTTCCTCCAGCTCCACACTTTGTTATCTCTGCATCACATTTTATCTGCTTTTGTAGCAAGTCCTTATGGCACCCAATACTTACATATCTTGCTATTCATTATACAGCTATACATTACTTTCTCCTTCAATGTTCTTTTGACAAAATCTTACATTGCCTTCAGCTGAGAAGAATGTCTATACCTGTTTCACTTGATAACTTTTTTTTAAAAGACATAAATTATTTCTGCTGTACTCTGATTCTGTGGGAACTGTTGCCCAGGTGCTTCCACACCTAATAGCTAAATACCACAAGAGTTGCAGCTATAATTTAGACTTAATGCCTCATTCTCCTTAGCTTTCTTGTTGACATGTTATTGTCTTGGGCTGGTCAGATATGAAAGCATTTTCATAAAAATAAAGTCATTTCTTAGGAAGAATGGGATCTACAGCCATTTTATTTGTACAGTCTAAACACCCAATGTTTCAGAGCATCTTTAAATTCCCCAAAGAATATAATTACAATAGAAAAGAAATAGCTCCATAAAAAAAATCACCATCACCAGATGGTTGTCTTCATAGAGGATATCTGATGTTGTATATTAAACTTCATTTTAGTTGGCATAACATAATCTTTTGGTTGGGAGTTATTCTAATTCATTCATAGGCCTTTAGTTAATAGGGAGTAGCAAACCTGCCTTTTAGGGAACTAGACTGGTGATTATCCCAATGGCTGCCACACAGCAATTTAATGCTGAAAGTAATATTAAGTGCTTTAAAGCAGAACCTCCACCCTTTCTTAGTAGGAAGTCTTCCTTGGAGAGATGCCATTCAGGAAACAGCTAGCAGCTCTGGAAAGACAGCAGGTAGGAGTGATGGCCACCACTGTGACTATGAGCAGTCCCGTCATACTGAGAAGCATAGTTATGTTTACAGTCTAGGGTCTAGGCAGGAGGATAAGGGGCTAGGGCTCAATAGTTCAAGGAAGGGGTAAAAAGGAAGGGAAACAATGTTGGTGTGCAGATGCTTCTGATGGGCCCAGGGGACCTAGCAAAGGATGTTCCTTCCTCTTGCAAAACATCAATTTGTGTGGCTAAAGCTGGTGAGCTTCCCACATGACATGGACCTATAGGTGCTGATGGTAAAATACCAGCAGATCAGGATTAGACCCTTAAATTGGCCATTTAATGGCCTCAATATCATGATTGGCAAATGGACCACATGAAGATTCCTCAGACCCCTGTAAAATTTTAGACAGAACAGGAGTGGGCACATAGCTGGCAGGCGGAGGGCAGGAGGGCCAGTCTGCTGGATTTCATGATCCCACCTTCAAATCTGCCAGTAAGGTACAAAGCAAAAGCACCCACCCTATCTTCTGTAATGTAATGCCTACAATTCATTTCACAACAATTCTGCTATCATTAGTTCTAATCTCATCCACATTATTTAAACACTTTAATTCTGATATCTTTAAGTTTCCACTTCTCCAATAAATATTCATAATTATTTTTCCTTCTTTAAATTCAGAAAACAGAATCACTTCTCATTAAGTACTTAATTTTATCTCAATAAAAGTTCTGCATTTCATGCCTGTACCTTGTCAACACTTCAAAATGATTAACCATCTTCAATTTGATCAATGCTTTATTCTAGCAGTAAAAACTGTTGAAGGTTTCCTTTGAAATCATTACCTTGCTGTGTTGAAGCAGGGCTCGAGCTACACATAGTAACTGCCTCTCTCCTACAGAAAAATTCTCTCCATTTTCTGTGACTTCAAAGTCGAGTTTCTCATTCAGTTGTGTTATCTGTAAAATAATATATCCAAACTACAATTAGTAACATCAATTTAAAAATTGACAAAAAATCCCTTTTCATTCTCATAATAAAAATTTTGGCAATGCCTTGTTTTCTTTAGTATGAACAGTATTAAATTTGAAGAATGGAAAGAAGTCCCATTTTAAGTATTGAACTTTTCCAGATCAGGGGTAGCACAGGTTGGATGTGAACTAAGCTCTTCTTCTAACTGCAATGATTGCCTGATCCCTGTTCAGAATAATCAGGTAGTAGTGTAGTTCTGACCTTATCTTGAGGGCAAACAGAACTTAACAGAAAGGGAGCTAAATTGGATGGTACCCAAACCAACACTGATGTTAGTGTGGGCACAGAATATACTCTGGGTGGGGTCTTCAAAGTCCATTGCCAAGTGTCGTTCAAGAGCTGAAGTCTTGAAGTACACAGCCACCTGCAGCAGCCAGCGAGAACCATCAAAAGCACAAAAAATCCTTGATCGCAGCCTTGCAGATTTACCTGTTCCAGATGCATTTATCTATGTTACTATTGTGACCACCACATAGTTCTTCTAGCAATTAACTTTGATCTTCACGTTGCGGACATTCTCTATCATGTTATGCACGATGCCAATCTACAGAAGATAGATTTCAAACAGATCTAGCAAGTCAAAACTGGGCATCACTGTGGTTATCAGCATGAGAAAGATTGTATTTCATCAGAATCTGGAACCTCATGGCTTGCATATCCCAGAGTCTACCATTACCTTCAAGCCAGGGGATTAAACCTGGTTCAGTGAAGAATGAAGAGAAGCATGCTAAGAGCAGCACCAGGCATATCTAAGAATTAGGGACCAAACTATGAAGCTATAACACTGTACTTCATGCATGCCAATCAGCAGAAGTAGTATACAACAGACAGAGGCAAGTCATTCAACACTCAATGGCTGAGATCAAAGCTTTTCAGTCCGATCACATTTAGTCATGATCATGGTGGACAGTTAACAGCTAACTAAAAGAGGAGAGGGTTATACAAGCATCCCCAGACCCAATGATAGGGGAACCCAGCACATAATGCGAAAGGCAAGACTGATATACTTGCAACTATCATCAGCTAGAAGTGCTGACTGGATTATCCATTTTAGCCACCTCCTAAGGTCCCCTGAATCTCAGATTCTAGTCTTCAGCAAACTTGAATCACTCTATGTGATACCAAGAAGCAGCTGAAAGTATGGATACAGCCAGGTTGTGGGTCCTGTCAACATCCTGACAGTAATACCCAAAGCTTTATGCCGTAAACTAACTGGGCCTCTAGCCAAGCTTTTCCAGTATAGCTAAAAACTGCCATATACTTAATAATGTAGAAAGTGCCAATGTCCTGCCATAAAAACCCAATGAGTTTAGTCTCAATCACCAAAGTGATAGAAAGTGTAGTTAATCCTGCTATCAAGCAGCATTTACTCAAAAATAACATGCTCACTATGCTGTTTGGATTCTGCTCTGAATGTTTCATCTCTGAACTTCAGTGCAGCTTTGGTCCAATCGTGGACAGAAGAGTAATATTCAAAGATGAGGTGAGCATGACATCAAGGCAATATTCGACCAGCGTGGCCTGTAAAAGCATCAGCAATTCTGAAATCAATTTGGGGGGGCTACTCTGCACTGGTTGGACTCATAGTTGGCACAGTGGAATCAGCTGAAGGAAAAAAGTGCAAAAGATCCTCTGGCTAGATATTTTCTAATCAACTTGATCAGCAATTTTATTACACAGTTCCTGAGCAGGTGGGATATGTCCTGGGACTGTTGGCCCAGAGGTAGGAACCCTCCAACTGTGCCACAAGAGCCCCCAGTTCTTTTGGCTAGTCTCCAAGGTCCTACCATCTTCAGCTGCTCCATCAATGAGCATCCCTCCAATGTAAGATCAGAAGAAGAGTGATGCTAATGTTTTCTATGTTCAGTGCCATTTGCAACACCTCAGACATTGAAGCAGCCTTCTATGCACAAATTCAAAAAGAAACAGAAGCAGGCATTATTGTTACAGAATCCTCCACCATCAACAACTTGGGGATTATTATTGATTACAACTTAACCAGACAATCTATACAAATAATGGGTTGGAAATTTCATGAAGATTGCCATTCTGCCATTTCTTTTTACTAAAGGAGGGAGGGAGTTCCCATTTCTAAAAGGAGATTCCAATCAGGGTTCCTTAAGGAAAAAGAAGCTATGCTTCCATTCTGACAGTTCTCTGGTGGTGCAGAGCTTTCAGGGAAGGCAAATCATGCCCTCCTTTCACAGCAGTCAGCCGCCACATTGTGATATTTAAAGATACAGGCAGATACTTTGATAGCTGCTACAAACAGTAAGTAGGCAAGGCAAGTGTGCTGTCAGGGTACTGGGAGAATAAGGTGCCAAATGGTTAGGGGGTTGGGTGCTAGTTGAAGTAGGGGCGCAGGTAGGTATGATGCTAGGGTGCCAGGTAAATGATGTGTCAGCTGGGTAATGGGTTAGGTGACAGGTGAGTAGTGAGTAGAGTGTTAAGTGGATAGGATATCAAGTGGAAAAGGGGTAGGGTGTTCAGTGGCTAGGGAAAAGGGGCAAACTAAGTGATGTAGTGTTTGAGGTAGTTCAGGCAGGTGGGAGAAATCTGGACCAGTTGGAGCAGGGATAAGTGGGTAGTTGGCAAATCTGACAGAGGCAGGAGCATATCCAGCAGCAGAGGAAGGGAGGTTGGGGAAGTGGCGGAACAGGGGGTCAGGTCAGGGTGTTTGGTGGGGAGTGGGGCGTTGGTGTAAGTGGTCAGGGAGAATTGCAGTTGTGAATCTGTGAGGTGTGTATGGGCTCAATTGAATAGTTATTCAGGAGTTAGACTATGTATTTAACAGTCTAGCTTTTCTTGAATAACTACTTACTTAATTTCATTAGAAACCTCAGATTTCTTTGATTTAAACTGAGACTTTTGGAGGGTTCCAGATGTAGAGGAATAGCTCAGTGGAATCTTCAATTACCAAGGCGATTCCTTCAGCATCTGCATTGATAGGAACTCCACAGGGTGCCCTTGCACAACTCACAACTATATTGGAATTAAAAATTATCAGGCCATTGAAAAATCTGGGCCATTGTGACTCCTGAACTGGTCAAAAGCTGGGAATTCTGTGGCAAGTAACTCAACTTTGACTTCCATTGCCTGTTCATTATCTACTATCACAAGTTAGCAATGTGATTGAATAATTTCCACTTGTTAGTGTTACATTCCCTTTGGTCACAAGCTAAAAGAATAACATTTCTGAAATGATCCCCAAATCTAGAAATTTACCAAACAAGATTCCACTTCATTATTTTTATATTAATATAAATCATAACCAAGATAAATTATGTCTAAATAAAGGAACAGAATGAACTGTAAAGTACATATAGACTAGCAAGTAATTTCCCTCAGAGGGCTGTGCAGCTTTGGAATTCTCTGCCTTAGAAAATGGTGGAAGCAGGGCTATTGAATATGTTTAAAGATAGAGGTAGAAGGATTTTTGTGAGGCTAGGGAATCAAAGGTTATTGGGTTTAGAATTGGGAATATAGAACTTGGAACACAAATGGGCCTGCCATGATCTTACTGAATGGTGATTCCCTACCACTCTCTATCAACTTTAACGAGTTTAAAGATCTTTAGGAATCACTAAAATATGTACAATTACTCCAACTACCAGCAGAAATCACATCATTAACTAACCACACGAATTTCAGTTTGTTCTTATTGCACAGTGGTAGCAATCACAGTGCACATCTGAGCCACTGAGTTGGAGTCCCACAGCCAGACTGATGGCAACAGAAGGTGCATTCATGATGTAGCTAAACAGGTTATCACTGTAAATCTTTCCAATACACTGATGGTATGTGGTAAGAACACAAGAGCCTGATGATCAGGTAGAACCATGTGGTAGCTGCAGCATAACAGCTTCCCCATGGTAAAAGCATCCATGCACAGGTTCATGTAATGAGTTGTACTCTCTGGTGAGAGTCCTCCTAGCTTCAAGGGACAACCAGAGTTGATGATCCTGCTAAATAGTGCTGGTGCAGAGTCCTTCATGCTGCTTAACACTTGGTCAACTGTATCAGGCTAACAGAGGGCATTGGCTGGTCAATAAAACTATGAAATAGCTCTGCTGGTATCAACATGTGACAATAATGTCTGCTTTACAAACATAAGTTCAAATCTTCACCATTAGGAGGTCTAATGTGATTTATGTGGGAAGTGTGAGTGCATGCAGTGGGTATCATTTTCATCCGTAAATGGCAATTATAGCACTAAATAATTGCTATGACCAAACTCAATTTCATGCCTTAAAGCCGCTTACTGCAGCTTGTGTCTTGAGATTTTGTATGCAACTAAATTTCTGTCACTTGGAATAAAATTCACTGATCAGCAAGTGTGTGTTCAGTAATTTTCAGTTAATGTTAAGATTTAATAATTAGAGCTGCCAGTATGCAGAATAATACGTTTGTCTTTGTGTGAGGATGTGTTCAGTTTTGTCAGAGAATAACAAATATCTCTCAATCATTGACCAATTTCTAGCTATTTTGTAGGGGTTGTTTTGATTCCAGAAAAAAGCGCATGTTCCAACTGATTCATGATGATAGAATCTCTGTATAATAGGTGAGATTTCATTACATTTTTAGTGATCTTCTTTGTACATTATTGTACCTGCATTGATCTCACTAATTCCTTGGAATGTAACACCTTCATAAAAGAAGATGGCAAGTACCACAATACTGCAGCAAGTTGTGCACTTCTAGAGTTGGGAGCGCTACACATGAATGCATCCTGCTGCAGTAGGAGAATACAACTAATCCATAGAATGAAATTAGCACCCAGGCCATTCAAATGAATAAAAAACATTTTTCCAATGGAGTTCACAAAATTTTAAAGCTCAATTTCCATGGAAGTTAAAACACAACAGTGATTCAGACATGGGTCTCTTGTAATACAAAAGTGATATGCAATATTCCTTCAAATATCTCAAGAACCAATTTGTTCTATTGATAAAACTAAAACTTGCCACAAAATATTGTATGATGAGACTTATCATAAACAACTTGTCAAGTTATTCAAGTTATCTTGACAGTCTCTTTCTAAATTAATATTCCCTCTAATCTGTGTTTGTTGTGCACGGCCTGTTAATTGCACTTCCCAGTTCTTTTAAGATTGACATGCACTGCACATTTGCATATCTGAAAGGAAGTTTTGTACAGCCTGTTTGATCCTATTCCATATTTCTGTGTGGTCTCGCACCCACACAGCTGAGAGAGAAATTACTGCAGAGTCTTCAAAAACGAAATATACCACTTTGAAGCACCTGGGAGCACTTTTTCCGTATTGAAGGTGCTATATAAACACTTCTTTAACAAATATTACAATGAAAACATTAGAACTAAAAACAATTAAATATTGTTTCCGTGATGTGACACAGAAACTTTCCGATGACATCGAGTTATAAAGAATTATTGCATCAAAAGGAAGACCATGAGGTTTTAAACACCATAGACATACAAGACCTAACAGATAGATGAAATATAAATGCAAATTTATATTACTTCACTCAGATTTGACCGATACTTACACTTTCTTTCATGTGAACTCTTTCTAATGCATCCCAAATTTGCAAATCAGTGTACTGGTTGTAGGGATCAAGGTTTGACCTGAAATAAATACAGAAACAACTCAAGTCTCCATAATGTGGATTAATTGTTAATGTAGCTGTTATGTTATCACAGGATCTCAACTTCAGATATATGAAGATTTTTCTCACATATAGTGTCATCAAGACTTCCTGACAGATTATGCCACCAAGATTAGTAGTGTCCTTAGCCAAGTTGGATACATACCTGACTGTCCCAACAAAGAGCACAGGCTCCTGTGGAATAATGGATAGCTTCTTTCTCAGGTCATCTAATCCAATGTCACTAATCTTCACGCCATCTATTGTAATAGAACCATTGCAAATTTCTACCAGTCTGAATAAAGTCACTCCCAGGGATGATTTCCCTGTGTATAAAACATGGTACATGGAATCAATTAATAATTGGTTAGCATTCATCTTCTTCCTGCAAGTTGCTTTCAAATTCATAAAATGATTTAACCACCATTTAATGTGCTCCAGTTAAAACAAATATCTATTGTGGAGATCTGAGGACATTAACTTCCTCCTCATCATCAACCACATATTAGCAAGATTTCCCGCTGGATGTTGTTTAAATGGAAATGCACTGAAAAGGTCCAAACTTCCTGATTGAGAACCAGCCTGTGTGTTCAAAGTCATGACCTGGTTGAAAATCATGTCATGAAATAGAGTGATTTCCTGAAATTATTCAGTTATTAAAGCTACCTTTTAAGCTATTGAAAACATTTCTTGAAATCTTTGAATAGCATCACAACAATAAAGTTCTTTGTCAGCTCAGGTGATTTCAGAGTATGCACCAGATTGTTTCTCTTACATACCAATTCCTCATGACAAGTATCAGGAATTTAAAAGAAAAACTGTTTATTTAATAAGAATTAATAAGGGTTCTGGAAAATCCAAGATGGAGGATGGGGAAAATTTGTGACTATAACAGCAGCTCCTTTTTTGTGGTATTTTCAGTGTTCGAGCTGATTTCTTTGAATTCTAAGAACAGTAATTCCTGTTTTATAAGCTGTTGCATTGTTTTGGAACTCCGGGGGAAAAAAAGATCAAAACTACGGCACTTTAAAAAGAAAGAAGGGAGCCAAGGGTAGTGACCACATGGGAAGTGATTCAAACGGAGAAAGAGACCTACACTGCTTCTGACCCAGCAGTGAATCTGAGCGGCTGCTGCCTTTGCTGTTTAGTTTAAAGTATCTCTGGGCATCAGAGTTTTGTTCCAAGAAAAATAAACAAGCAGCCAAATTCACAGCTGACCTTGGAGAAACCTCTGGGGGTGGAGCTCACAGCATGGGAGCTGTTAAGTGGCTAGTTTCAAAGTGTAACCTTACTTTTTTTAAAATATACAATAGTGAGTAGAGTGGGTTCTTTTTCGATTATATGTTTTAATTGAGATTATCTCTTGATTAAACTTTAAAAATATAAAAACATAGATACTAAGCTCACTGGGAGCAGTGGTATTAGAGCAGCAAGACTGTGCTATTTTGTGGGTCTGTAGATTGTTGAGGTGGCCTTTAGAAGAGTGATATGCTCTTCTTGTTGGATGTGGGAGATTAGGGAGATGTTACTGAAGATAATGTCTGCAGGAAGTGTGTTTGGTTATGAATCCTCTCGAACCGCATGGATCGGCAGTTAGAAGCAATAAGAAATTTGCAGGAACTACAGGATGTGATGGATAGCAGTTTCAGGGTGGGAGATAAACCAAAGATACAGTCAGGTAGATGGGTTACCTCCAGGAAAGGTAGGAGAAGGAGGCAGGTAGTGCAGGAGTCTCCTGTGGCTACTCCCATCTCAAACAAGTATGCTGTTTTGGAAAATGTAGCGGGTAATGGACTCTCAGGGGAGTGTAGCACTGACAGCCAGGTTCCTGGTACTGAGACCAGCTGTAATGTAACGCAGGGTATGCCAGGTTCCAAGTGATCGAATGTGATAGGGGACTCTCTAGTCAGAGGCATAGACAGACATTTCTGCGGCCGACAGTGAGATATCAGAATGGTGTGTTACCTCCCTGGAGCCAGGATCAAGGATATCTCTGAGAGGGTGCTGGATATTCTCAAAGGAGAGAGGGACCAGCAGGAAGTCATTGTACCCATTGGAACTAAAGGCATAGGAGATTCTGCGGAAAGACTGTAGGAAGTTAGGCGGGAATTTAAAAAATAGGCTTTCGACGGTAGTAATACCTGGATTACTCCTAATGCCATAAGCTAGTGAGGTTAGAGCAGATGAATGCATGGCTGAGGAGCTGGTGCAGGGAGAAGGATTCACAGTTTTGGATCATTGGAATATCTTCTGGGATAGAAGTGACTTGTACAAGAAGGATGGATTGCATCTGAATTGGAAGGGAGCTAATATACTGGCAGGGAGATTTGGTCGAGGATTTAAACTAGTAAAGGGGTGGGTGGGACCCAGGGACATTGAAAAAGATCAGCCTGATGAACTGGTGCTGTTGGGAAAAGAAATGAGTCAAACAGTAAGTGTAGGCATGAACAAAGCAGAGAATGACGTAGGACTGATAAATTAAACTGCATTTATTTCAATACAAGAGGCCTAACAGGTAAAGCGGATGAACTCACAGTATGGGTGGGAACATGACAGAGACATGGTTCAACGATGGACAGGACTGATAGCTTAATGTTCCACTGTGTAGATGCTATAGGAAGGATAGAAAGGGCGGCAAGAGACGAAGGGGAATTGCGTTTTTGATTAGGGGTAACATTGCAGCTGTACTTGGTCAGGATACTCCTTGGAATATGTCCAGGGAAGTTATTTGGGTTGAACAGAGATATAAAAAAGGGATGATCACCTTATAGACTATAGATTCTATAGACTATAGAAACTGAGAAACAAATTTGTAAGGAGATCTCAGTTATCTGTAAGAATAATAGGGTGGTTATGGTAGGGAATTTTAACTTTCCAAACATAGGCTGCGACTATATGTTGGTATGTTCACCAAGCTGGGAGATTTGAATACAGAGGTTTTGTCCCCTTACTAGGTGACATCCTCAGTGTTTTGGAGCCTCCTGTGAAGTGCTGTTGTCTTGTGCCGGGTCGAATTTATGTGGTCTGGTTTTTGCTGCTTCCGGTAGGTGCCGGTTCCAGCTGTTCGTTGTAATCGTCGGTATATTGGGTCTAATTCAATGTGTTTGTTGATGAAGTCCGCAGATGAATGCCAAGCCTCCAAGAATTCCCTGGCTGTCCTTTGTTTGGCTTGTGCAATGATAGCAGTGTTGTCCCAGTTGAAAGTGTGGGTTAAAAGGCTAGACCATATAAATTCAAAGCAGCACAAGACAACAGCCCTTCACAGGACGCTCCACAGCACTGAGGATGTCACCTAGTAAGGGGATGAAACCTCTGTTATCAAACCTCCCAGCTTGGTGAACTTACCAATATCCACAACCAGCACCCGAACTACAAATCTTCACTCAAACCTTGAATAGATTGGGACTGCCATAGTGTTGAACTTGGATGAAGAGGAATTTGTTATGTGTGTACAAGAAAATTTCCTTATGCAGTATGTGGATGTACCTACTAGAGAAGGTACAAAATTTGACCTACTCATGGGAAATAAAGCAGGGTAGGTGACTGAGGTGTCAGTGGGGGAGCACTTTGGGGCCAGTGAACATAATTCTATTAGTTTTAAAATAGTGATGTAGAAGGATAGACTGGATCTAAAAGTTCTAAATTGGAAGAAGGCCAATTTTGATGGTTATAGGCAAGAACTTTCAAGAGGTGAATGTTTGCAGGTAAAGGGGCAGCTGGAAAATGGGAAGCCTTCAGAAATGAGTTAACGGGAGTCCAGAGACAGTATGTTCCTGTTAGGGTGAAGGCCAAAACTGGTAGGTGTAGGGAATGCTGGATGACTACAGAAATTTAGGTTTTGGTTAAGAATAAGAAGGAAGCACGTCAGGTATAGACAGCAGAGATTGAGTGAATCCCTAGAAGTGTATAAAGGCAGTAGGAGTGTACTTAAGAGGGAAATCAGGAGGGCAAAAAGAGAACATGAGATAGCTTTGGCAAATAGGATTAAGGAGAATCCAAGTGGATTCCACAAATACATTAAGGGCAAAAGAGTATTTTGCATCAGTGTTTACTGTGGAGAAGGATATGGAAAATACAGAACATGGGGAAATAAATAGCGTCATCTTGAAAAATATCCATATTACAGAGGAGATATTGAATCAGAGATAGTAGGAACTGCAGATGCTGGAGAATCCGAGACAACAAGGTGCAGGGCTGGATGAACACAGCAGGCCAAGCAGCATCATAGGAGCAGAGAGGCTGACGTTTCGGGCCTAGACCCTACCCTGACTCTTTGTTTTTTACTGGTCAACCAAACCTCTATCCATG